ATATGTTGCATCAAAGTTGTTTGTCGCAAGAAGTAAGCTACTAAAGTTGAACAGCGTCAATTCAGATGCATCATCTTGCTACAGCTGATCTTTCCATGCATTTTCATGTGACATTTCTCCTGTATTATCAGTTATATACGATGAGTCAAGAGCCCTGGGGATTTTGGTAAAGTTTCTATATTACATTTAGTGTGAAGTTAACCATCGGACATGAATTTTTTGTACCTCTTTTACTAGCTCTCCACCTGCGGAGACCGAAAATAGCAGGTCCTATGAACACGATGCCAAGCACGGTACTTACGCTGATGATAAGTTTTGCTTTTGTCGACATGCCTGACATGTGAAAAGAACCTGCGGCTGTATTGTCATGTGCGAGCCGAATATATACATCTTTCCCAGCTGTTGAAAACTCCTGAATATCGATCAGATCTTTAGCCCAGATCAAACACCCTATTGTGCGGACAAAAGAATAAGCCAAACAAGAACAATTATTCAGGCACCAGCTTTGGCATCCTCCTTCATTTCCGATGTCTGATAAATATTCCGCAGAATCAGGCACTTTCATCTGGCTCATTTGCACGAAGACATCTTTCTTCACCTGCATTGAAGCCGACCTACTTGTGTTCTTCTGACAATTCAATTCTGTTTCTCTGATGCACCCAGTGGTCCAATTCATGCTGTTCCATTCTTCTTTTGATCTCGGCCTAAACCCTTTTACGCAATGGCAGAAGGGAGAGTTAAATATGTTGCAGACGCCAAAAGGACCGCAAGTTCCATAAGCTGAGCAAATGCTGTTCGGTACATACCGAGTTAGCGACCAACCGTTGGATCTATAATCCCATTTTGCGAATTGTAAAATTCCTCCAGGAGAAATGAAACCATAATCAAGCAAAGACTTGTTATTGGAACCAGCAGAGAAATAAAACGATGAGCGTGTAATCTGAAATCACTAGTATGAACTTTCATTTTCGGCGATATCCATGACTGAGACTTTTAATTTATTAATGTTTCATAATTTTCGTATATTTAAATATGAGTTGTGATCAGTGAATTGTAGCAAATGGTGGTCATTAAAGGTGATGATTTACTGCAAACGTTTAATTAAGAGAACAGGTGGAACCTAGGTAAACCTTGGAACCTATGACAAGGTAAGTTCTAGGTTCCTGAATATGCGGGCTAGGTTCTAGGTTCCAAATTTTAGGAAACCTATTCCGATGGGTAAGTTCCAGATGAAACTTGAATGGAACTTGAAACTGCTCACCTCTATCTACAGTGATCTTCTCGTTCATGATGTTAAACGTGATATTACGAGCTAATGTCAGTCGAATAATACCCTACACTTGTCTATCAAGTAATTCCCATTCATCTTGCTTCATTGACTTTGGTTTCTCCCCAGATAGGGGCAAGTGCAGATTCCTCTAATACAAATAATCCTCAATTTGCATTTTCCAGAAAACCAAAATCCTTCCCATCAAATCCATCAATTCTTTCCTTCTTTCGTTGCCATCGATTCGCTTTAACTTAGTCAAGCTTGGTTCTGATACCAATTGTTGCGAAAGCAAGTGATCGAATAATAAAATATACATAACAAGAAAATAAATCGGACATCAGATTTAAGTGGTTTGATTGTGGAGACTTACGTCCAAGGGAAGAATAGTAGCAAATTTCACTATAGATCAAGCGATGCAACGGAAATTACAATCACAATCAAGTCATTCAAACACTCTCAGTATTTCCTAAGCCCCAATTATATCCAATAACTCACGCAGTGTTTTGCTCCATAATTTCGCGTGAAATAATCTCTCATTCTCATAAAAGAATTACACAAATCTTATTAAAACATTTAATAAGTTACACACTTACTTCATGAGATGTAATTCACAAAGGAATCTCACGAAGAATATCCCTTGTTAAGTGCTCGAACGGCACTTCAAGTAATCTTCACGAGAACAACAACGCACCCCCGTTCGACCAAAAAAACACAGACAGCCCACATTAATACGTGGGGTGCACGGTCAAACTTTCCTCTTGAAGCAGAGTCCAACACCGAAAAGAAAAAGTTGAGAAAAGTCCACTTTCCTTTTATTTATTCTCCTTCAACGTGGAAGCTAATTCGTGCGTATAATTTTTTTCTTTCTTTCTTCGCCGACTTCAACTTGCCAAAAAAAGTTACTATTTTGCTTTGCTCGATTCGGACATCTGCAAAATATCCAAATTTCTGACTTTAATCGACTAGATTTTCTTGCAATTCATCTCATAATAAATTCAAACTCGAGACATATTCTAACAAACAATGCACATGTTATTTTTGTGGTGCGACACATATAAGTACGTTTAAAGAGGCTTGACGTGTTGAAATTGTGAGATGTGCCATCTCATTCCATAGCACACGCGATGCACCGACAACCTGGTCACCGTCTGGACCTAGCACCATAGTACAGAATAGTGACTTTACAGGTGCTTCGTTTAGGTCTCGTGCAGTAAAATTCTGCTGCACAATGATGGAGACCATTTGTTGCTTTCAAACCTGCCAGATTGTGTAGGTTAAAGGCTGTTGTGTCATGAAATATTGAAGCTACACTCATTTCAAACCTCTGATACTCTTGTTGTGTCATACGACCTCGTGTTCGGTGAAAGCCACCTCACGAGTTCATTTCGTCTCATCATCGAGCCTCCGTTTGTTTAGAATTTCGGTATTTCGAGCTCCTTCCCACGTCTTCTGATGGCAGATTTCTAATATTATGTTTGCCAAAAAGGAGTGTTGTTCCATGGATGGTAAACGCGTAACGTCGGTAGTAAATTTATTATACTTATTGCAAGTAAAACAAAATTACCGGTAGTTTATCAATCCGAGGTCAAATTTTTTTTTTTGTAAGGATCCGAGGTCAATTGTTTGTCCCTTACCAAATGATAAAACAATTTTACCATCCTGAGACTCAATAGTAAATTATCACTTATTTTTAGATTTTACAAGTGAGCGCATAAACTGTTTGTGTGAGTTAATAATGATATAAAAGTTATACCATCCACAAATCCTACTTTAGATTACCACTTATGTCTTAATTTTATGAGCAGACATGTAATTGTTTCCAAGTTACCAATGACATAACGATTTTACCATCCACAAATCTAAACTTTATTCTGGATTTTACAAGTGGTCATGTAATTGTTTGTACGTTACCGACGAAATAACATTCTTATCACGCACCAACCTAATAGCAGATTACTATTTGTTTATAGTTTTTAGAAGCCGTCCCGTAACTGTCAGCCGATGAAATTATATTTTTATCATCCAAAAATGTAATAGCAGATTACCACTTGCATTTGGATTTTACAATTAGGTGTGTAACTGTTTGTAAGTTACTAACGAGAGTAATAAATATAACATAATTGATAAGTTGCATTGATGGTCGAAAGTACCAATTAACTTAAGTTGTAACTTACTTTTATCACCGCTAGAAATTAGCTTTGAGCAGTAAATATATAACATAATTATTAAGGTATAATTACATTGATGGTCGTATCAGCAGGTAGGAGGTTACACGATTTTACAGCTGTTTTTTAGAATTTACAAATCGGGTTACCAATTTACTATGTACGGAACATTGTTCTGTAAGATATGGTAATTGTAACCTATCACATAGTCAGTTGAGCATCCTTTATACCGGAAGAGCTTCCCCATAGAGTATAAGTTGAAGCACATGAATGAACTTCGTTCCGGAAGGCCGCACTTTCAACACTGCTCGAAACTAATGATGTTGCAGGGTTGGGAGTTTCTGATATTGTCATACTTCTTTTGTATTTGTATGTCAATTAGGACTTAGATCTTAAAACAATTGTCGCTCATCACCAAGAACTTAGTAACTGAGACTAGCTTAATCAGAATTCGAACACCAGCTGCCGCAAAAATGAGAAATGAGCTGAGGACAGTGAGCTGAGGGGTGGCTTCCTGGGCTTAAAACAGGGTTTGCAGAATCGGACTCCACAAATATTTTTCTTTATGGCCCATTTTGTACGTTTTCTCCCACGCATTGTTTCTCCGTCCCGACTAAACATTACGCGGGAGCCATCTCTGAAAATCCTACGAAAGACTATGGTTTTGAGCTATCTGGACCGACATTGCCATGCCCCGTCGCATGTAGTTTATAATATAATCATCCTTGCCAGGTCAACATGTATAACTTAATTTGTGATTGATGTTGCACGCCTTGAAATCTCTATGCGTGACTCTAAGGAAAGAGGCCAAAATTGTGGACGTATATGTACTTCTGTGCTAGTAACTATGTCTTTGTTTTGGCCGGAGTTAGTAATTACCTTTGTTCAATGAATCCCACTTCCTATCAGAGATCTGTAGGTTGCCTGTCATGACATTCACATTCATATTGCAAAATCTATGTGAACATAAAAATTCAGAATTTCCTTGATTAGTTCATGGGGGTGTTAAATGTTTAGGTCTCTCAAATTGAGTGAACACTGACTTTCAGCACAGAACATTACAAGTGTTTAAAACCCCAAAAAAGATCGATCATCATCCCCCTTCGACCCCAGAATTCGTGATGGTTTTTGTGGACAAGATGCATTCCCATTGCGACTTGATATCGTGACTTGGAATTTCACTTTTTGAGGTGAATGTAGGCGGTGTCGGCTGAGGAAGTTCTGATTCACTGCTCAGCACCAGAACGACTGATGACATGTTGGGTCGGTCGGTCGGTCGGTCGGTCGTGTCGTCCTGCACATAGAGAAGCCCAACCTGAATGCATCTCATCACTTCTGATGGCGAACAAGTATGAACAATTGCTTCATCTATTAGGTCTAGTCCTCTATCTTTGCTCCACAATTGCCATGCCTGTAAGAATTAAAGAACATAGGGCGCATAAAATTGCCAAAAAGCTTATAGAAGATCACTTGAGGCTGTATTCCACGCACTAACATAGGAAAGAAGATTGAAATGCTGTTCTTTTTGGTGGTATAAGCTCCTGTTCTTTTTGCCAGCCACGATCTCAAGTAGCAACACACCAAAGCTATAGACATTAGATTTCTCAGAAAATATCCCTTCCATGGCATACTCAGGAGACATATATCCTCTGCAATTGATTTGATCACATTAATCACTCGAGTCATAGAGTTTCCTAATTGAACTGATAATTCCAGCAAGGCTTGAAACTGAACAGTGTTCCAACAACTTTGTGAGTGTTTAGCAAAACTTGAGTGCCTTCGAAGATCCGTGCCAACTCAAAGTCGGATATTTTTGGGTTCATGTTCTCATCCAAGGGAATATTGCTTGCCTTCAAATCTAGATGGATAACTTGAAGGCAAGAATCTCGAAGGAGATACAGAAGCCCACTTGCGATCCCTCGAATGATCCGGAAACGTACATCCTAGTTGAGTTCTGCTTTCCTACTTGAATCTAAGCAAGGAAGAAAATGAAAAGTATTCGTAACTTTAAGTACTACTAATATATACACTATTTCTATCAGCACAAGAATGACTTGAAGAGAGAGAGCGGCCAACCGAAAAGAAAGGAATCTAAGCTTTTGTTTGACAAGTATTCATATACTAAATTTTTTTCTTCTCATTCGATGCAGACACCCATGAGTCTGACCAGATTTCAATGCTGAAGCTTCGATATTATAATAATCTCATTCTTAAACTCCTCCATGCCTTGGCCTGAGCTACTGGAAAGTCTTTTGACAGATATCTCCTTTCAATCATTCAGCTTTCCCTGTTTCCCAACTCATAGAAGTATCAGACCTCGGATAACGTCACAAAATTTCACTAAAGGACCATTCTAGAGAAGGCTTTTACCTTATAAACGGGGCCAAACCCTCCTTGGCCAAGTTTTTTTGTTGCATTAAAGTTGTTTGTCGCAAGAAGTAAGCTACTAAAATTGAACAGAGTCAATTCGGATGCATCATCATGCTTCAGCTGATCTTTCCATGCATTTCCATGTGACATTTCTCCTGTTTTATCAGTTAAATACAGTGAGTCAAGGGCCTTGGGGATTTTAGTAAAGTTTCTAAATTACATTTAATGTGAAGTTAAGCATTAGACATGAACTATTCGTACCTCTTTTGCTAGCTCTCCACTTGCGCAGACCGAAAATAGCAGCTTCCTACGAACACGATGCCAAGCACGGTACTTACACTGATTGTAACCTTCGCTTGTGTCAACATGCCCGACATGAGAAAAGAATTGCAAGATGTGTGATACGGTTCAAGCAAAACTCGTAGTGAAGCATCTTATTCCTGTATTGTCATGTGCGACTTGAATATATACATCTTGCCCAGCTGTTGAAAACTCCTGAATATTGATCAGATCTTTAGCCGAAACCAAACACCCTATTGTGCTGACATAAGAAGAAGCCAAGCAAGAACAATTATTCAAGCATCAGCTTTGGCATCCTCCTTCATCTCCGATGTCTGACATATATTCTGCAGAATCAGGCACTTTCATCTGTTTCATTTGCACAAAGACATCTTTCTTCACCTGCATTGAAGCCGACCTGCATGTGTTCTTCTGACAATTCAATACTGTTTCTCTAATGCAACCCCTGGTTGATTTCCTGATGTTCCATTTTCCTTTCGATCTCTGCATAACCCCTTTACACAATGGCAAATAGGAGAGTTTAATGTGTTGTCGACGCCAAAAGGACCGCAATTTCCATAAACTTCGCTCTGTTGCTCGGTGCCACCCAATTTGTCGACCAACTCTTGGATCCATAATCCCATTTCATTAATGCTAGAATTCCTCCAGGTGCAATGAAGCCATAATATTGACCAGAAAAAGAAATGAAGTCAAAACCAAGCAAAGAGTTGTTATTAGAATCAGCAGAGAAATAAGTGGTTCCCTGCTGAGGATCTTGCTGGAGATCGTCGCCGCTAAAAATTGAGGAATCCATTTCTGGTATGCCAATGAAAATCGATTTAGCTCATGGTCCACATCTCCAATAAGGGCTCGAGCCATTCCAGGTGACAAGTTGTGGCAGTGTCTCCAACGTAATCCCTGTGACGAATTTCCAGAGGATGAATTGTCGTCATTTTTCCAGGAAACTAACTACTGTCTCTCTCCGGTTCTCGTGTAGTCCTATCTTCATATTTGGTAGAAGAGTATCAGTTGAATCATCAAAGCTTGCCCATATTTCAACAGAATTCCCCTTTTAGAACAAAGTTTCCACCATCTGAAAGCATTGCTGCAGTATAATTTGAGTGGACAGAAACATTGGTAGACCAAGCTATGCTCTGTTGCTCGTTCACAAGCTTCAGATTCCCATCACTTTCTATTGTTAATTTTGCAGATTGATCTGAATGGGCAAGCAGTGTGTCCCTATTGGGGACCCAGATGATATTGGATGGAGTCATATTCTTGTATCGGATGCCCACATATTGATTTGCTGATCCATTAGGGGTGAAGAAGCCGAGCTCAAATATTTGACCAGAGGAGACAAGAGTTTGGTTCTGAAAGAGTGGTTCGGCTGCAGTAACGTTAAAAACTGCAGTGCTCTGATTTACCTGAAGAAGGAAGAAGATGACCAAGGAAGAGTAGAGACCAATCATAAGCAGCATGGTAATCCTAGTGCGTTTCTGACCAACAGAAAAAAATAAATAAATCCTTGTGCGTTCAGGCATTGGTTACTTCAGAATGTTAAAAGGCTCCCAATTCTTCGCTAATCATTTTTGCCTGCAGAGCTGAAAGGAAGACAAGATCTCTGCAAGCCAAAGCGTGTTGCCAAAGGTATGAGGTCATTGGAGATAGCTTCAGGGGTTATGTTATTGATCAAATTAGTTTTATATTTGAAGCTGATGATGCCTGTCCCAGTTCAAGTGCATTCCCAGGATGCCAAGAGATCATGATGATATTGGTGTTTGACAACTCAGTTTCAATTACACCATAGCAGTTTCATTGTGAGTCAGATGGTGGCTTTTAAAACGAGAATTGTTTTTGGATGAGAAGCCAATAGACATTGGCATTCTTCTCTTGGCCGTTGTTCAAAGTTGATTTAGCCTTCCAGTGTACAAATAATATATGAGGGCTCGAAGCCACTTCTGATCAAATTTGTTGGCCATGTTTCTGTTAACGCAATAGCACAAGTTCCATGTTCAATGAAGCTAGATATGATCCGGGGTCCAAGTAAAATGGTAACACTAGAGCACTTCAGTTTAAGGATCACGTGGCTCCAATTTTGATCACTAGCTGACAATAGCCTTCCATTTTCATGCGAAGCTTATCCGAAGTGAAATGTTCCGTCATTCAAGTTTCTCGCCACTTTCTGTTTTCTTTCCTCTTTTTAATTAACTAAAAATTACCGCATGGCTGCAAGGCAGCAATTTAATTGCCACCGGCATATATGACTTCGTACCGAATCTGGAGAAGGTAAATCATATCTGGGAATGATACTGAAGCTGGAAATACCTTTTGCTGTGCCAACGCTCATGCTTCTCATGTGGGAACTTGAGTCTATCTTTGATAATGATATCTTTCGTCCAAAAAACCAGAAAATCAAATCTTCATGACACAACTGGTGATGAGAGCAGTGGGGATTACCTGGTTTTTCTCCTAAATAATACCAACAGTTCTGGCTATCATAAATCAGATCAAATTCCTGCGTCGATTATCTTCTGTCAAAAAAGTATATATTACAAACCCCTACTTTGCAGCCTAAAATCCATGTAAAAAGTGGAGCAGTTCATTCAACCTTTTGTTTGGAGCAGACTAAAGCCATCCTTGAATTGAATAAACACTACTACTTAGAAAATAACAACAAAATCATCTCGAAGAAAAGGAAAATAAAAGTGAAGAAAAATAGCCATCATCTTCCTGCGACCATTGTATTAGTGACAGTGTTAACAGACCCAATGCTTTCTTGCTGTGCTGGAATAGAACGATTTGGCTTTTCGGCTTGGAAAATGAATATAGGCTGTCCCGGCTGAGGAAGATCTGATTCACCACTTAACATCAAAACCACATTCCACATGTTTGGTCTATCCGTGGCAGGCTCCTGAATACAGAGAAGCCCAACATGGATGCATCTTGTTACCTCCAATGGAGAGCTAACAGCAATTGCTTCATCCATTAAGTCCATTGCTTTGCCTTCACTCCATAATTGCCATGCCTATAAGCGAGAACACTGTCAAAATATTCCAGGGAACTTACAGTATTGATTAAGGTTGGAATTTGGGACTTACGTAGGAAAGGAGATTCAGATGTTGTCCCTGCTCACACAGGGCTGTGTTCTTCTTGCCGCTAACAATCTCCAGTAGCAACACTCCGAAGCTATAGACATCGGACCTCTCGGAAAATATCCCGCCCATGGCATACTCAGGAGACATATAGCCACTGCAGTTTAGTTAAACATGTTATGTACTCTTTGATTGTATTGATAGGCAATGGAGATGAAACATGCACAAAGTGAGAGGTTCGTCGTGGTAAATCAATCATTTTTGTCTGCTTGGAAAGATTGACTCAATGAATTGATAATCCAAATAGGACTAGATAGATAGCTTACAGTGTTCCAACAATTTTGTGAGTGTTCACCAATACTTGAGGGCTCTCGAACATTCTAGCCAGCCCAAAATCCGAAATTTTCGGGTTCATCTTTTCATCCAAGAGAATATTGCTTACTTTTAAGTCTCGGTGGATGACCCTAAGGCAAGAATCTTGATGCAGGTAGAGAAGCCCCCTTGCAATCCCCTGAATAATTTGGAATCGTTTGCCCCAGTCAAGTTCTGCCTTCTTTCCCGAATCTAACATACACGACAAGCAAGAACAGTTTTCAACTTTTAGTGCCGAGAAATACATTACAGAAATATATTTATTTGGAGAGAGAAAACCAACCAAAAAGAAAGGTGTCCAAGCTTTTGTTCGACAAGTACTCGTATACCAAAATCTGTTCTTCTCCTTCAATGCAGTAACCCATGAGTTTAACAAGATTTCGATGTTGTAGTTTCGATAAGAGGAGGATCTCATTCTTGAACTCTTCAATGCCTTGGGCCGAGGTACTGGAAAGTCTTTTCACAGCTACCTCTTTCCCATCTTTCAGCTTCCCCTGTTTTGCAATTCACATAGCCTTTAGACCTTGAATTACCTCTATATTTTCATTGAACGATTGTCTTGCAGAATTGTTTTACCTTATAAACAGAGCCAAACCCTCCTTGCCCGAGTTTACTTGTCGTGTTGAACTTGTTTGTAGCAAGTAATATGCTCTCAAAACTGAAAATGGTCAATTCCAGTGAATCATCTTGCTTCAACTGCTCTTTCCAAGCTTTTCCTTGGATCAGTTCGGCTGATTTTTCAGATGTATCTACCAAGCCAAGGAGCCTTGAGATTTTGCACAAGTTTCCTGTGTTTATCATTGGCGAAGAATTAGCTTACTTTCTTCCTAGCGTTGGAAGATTTAAACAAAATAGAAGCATAATCCTCTGAAAAAACTGATGCGCCTCGTTAATAGTACCTCTTTTCTTAGCTCTCCATTTGCAAAGAGAAAAAACGCATACTGAAAAGAGCATGATCCCGGCAACAGTACTCGGGCTGATGATAACTGCTTTCTGCGGCGATCCTCCTGAAATGGGAACAGAGTTATGTCAAAAACGATTGGTGTTGACTCAAACTCATCTCCATGAAACAATTTATAATCTGCTTTTACAGGGTCAAATCGAACAAATAGATCTTCCCCAGTTGTGGGAAATTTGTGAAGATCGATGAGGTCTTTACTGGTGCTGACATAAGAATAAGCCAAGCAAGAACAATTGCTCACACGCAAGCTTAGATATCCTTCTTAAACCATACACCCAATTGCTCACGTAACCTCAACGATTTCTAGCGAAAATTGGCCGGAAAGACCACATTGGAATTTTGTGCAAAAGTTTGAAACTAAATTGCCAAAGTTAAAAGTATACAAGTGAATTGACATTTTAACAATAGGTTTAGGTCTGATTAAATAATTTTGATGCTTCTTTTAACTTATTTGTCAATTAGGATTTGGATCTTAAAACAATTGTCGCTCATCACTAATTAGAAGCTTTGAGACTTGTTCGATAGAAGCTTTGAACTCCAGCTGCAGCAATTTGAGAAATGGGCTGAGAAAAGTGAGCTGAGGTGTAGCTTCGTTGGCTTAAAAAAGGGTTTGGAGAATTGGACTCAAATTTAATTTTCTTTTTTGGCCATCTTTCACATTTTCTCCCTCGTATTGTTTTTCTGTCTCAACTAAACTTTATATGGCAATTCAAAAACTTGGAGATGAGCATGATCTGATGGCTCCATTCCAAAACTGGAACCTAGAACCAACTTGGGGAACCGGTCTTGGAAAACTTAAAACCCAAATCCGAATTGATCTATCCTATAAATTGCCTGTAACTAAACCGGCCATTTCCTGAGTAAAACGAGGAACCTATCCTCCAATTTTATTTTATTTTTATAGTTTTTAGCATATTAAAAATGAGTTACTTTTTTTTTTTTTGAGTTGAGACTGTCTTTTTAAGCCCTTCTATCATGCGTTGTTAACTTATTAACAAGTAATTTTTAATAGAGTTAATACCATGAAAAACTCCAAACTGGTACATCAATAACAAATTTACCCTAAATTAATTTTTTGATCATCAAAAATCCTAAACTGGTATACCTGTTACAAATTTACCCAAAACTAATTTTTCGACCTGCAAAAACCCCGAACTGATACATTTGTGGCAAATTTACCATTCGTTAGTTTCCGTTAAATTGGACTAGTACAACGAAAAAATCATAAACCAGTACATTTATGACAAATGGAAGGTAAAACCCCAAATTGATACACTCGTCAACTACCACGTGTCATCCAATTCAGCAATTTGACTATAAAATTTAATGAAAATTAACTGAGGGTAAATTTGTCACAGATGTACCAGTTTGGGGTTTTTTGTGGTAAAAAAATTAGTTTGGAGTAAATTTGTCATAGGTATACCAGTTTGGGGTTTTTCGTGGTATTAACCTTTTTTAATACTCACCACATTAGAGTCGGTTCAAAATTGATTTTGCCGGGAAGTGGCTTGGTCTGTTTGGTTCCTGGATAAAACAAATGGGTTCTAGGCTCAACCCTGAGACTAAACTGAACAAGGTTGGTTCTTAAGTTTTGAACTCGTGAACCTACTCGGTTCTCCCTAGAACCGGTCTCGAATCGGACTGGCAAGGACTATTCGCGACAGTTCCTGGTTGAACCTGAAATGTTGCTCCCCAAAGATAAACTTATATTCATTTTAACCAATTTTCTGTTGTTTTTTTGTTTATCCATTCAACTGCTCTTCATTCCCTTGTACCAAACATGTGATTTGACCTTTAAAAAACCATCATAGGATGGACCACACGGAGAATTTTTCTTATTGTACTGAGAGATCAAAGTATCAAACAAGTGAGCAGTCACAGGTTACCAAAAATACACCAATTTTATCCTATCTACTTGAAAAATTCCCCGACAGAATCCACAATTTAGACTGAAGCCAGAAAGCTCTTATAGAGTCTCAATTACCCTGTTAGCATTTCTCAGAACTTGATTTGCAACGTCCTAATAGCATCTCTAACGAGAAAGAACTTATGGCTCGACACATAAGTAGAGTTCGATTTAAGTATTCCATTTGGGAGCTTTGTTTATGCAGATTGAGTACTCCAGTCGGAAGCCGGGTCATTAATATAGGGGTTAATACCGTCAAAAACCCCAAATTGATACACCTATGACAAATTTACCCAAAACTAATTTTTTAATCATAAAAAACCCAAAACTGGTACAACTGTGACAAATTTACCTTCCGTTAGTTTATATTAAATTTTACTGTCAAATTATTGAGTTTTATGAACGTGACAGTTGGCGGGTATACCAGTTTGGGATTTTACCCTTCCGTTTGTCACAGATTTACCAATTTGTGATTTTTCGTGATATTAATCCAATTTAACTGAGGGTAAATTTGTCACAAGAGTACAAGTTTACGGTTTTTTATGGTTAAAAAATTAGTTTGGGGTAAATTTGTCACAGGTGTACTAATTTGAAATTTTTCGTGGTATTAACCCTTAATATTACATATTAGAGCATTACATCAGTCGGAAGTGTCGAAACTAGAATGTCACGCGCTACAGAGTGTTGCGCAGAAGTCACCTCTCATATCTTTTGGAGCCATCTCTAAAATCCTACCAAAGAATATGGTTTTGACCTACATGGACCGACATTGCCATGCCACATCGCATATGTGGTTTATAACTTAATCATCCATGCCCGGTCAACATGTATAACTTAATCCGGGATTGATGTTGCACACCTTGAAATCTCCATACATGACTCTAATGAAAGAATCCCAATTGAGATACGAAGCCCTTTAGTGAGTAGTAACCTCTCGGATATATTTCTTCTAGCAGAAAAGTACAATATGATTTGGCAGCCAAGAAACAGTGTTTTGTCTTAGAATTCTGCATTCATCAGTATTATTTAGTTAAAGGGCAGGTTATGGTTCTGGCTTTTCCTAGAAAATTTCTGGATCCAGTCAAACAATACCTGGCACTCAAAGTCAATTGTAGATTATCAAATGGCTCCAAGGCCTAGAGCTGATAATGTTTTCTTAAAAACCTTGCAATCCTGCCGACTAAGATTTCATTTTTTAACCTATGTCAAGCTTAGAATATGAAATGGCCAAAAGTCTTTCGAAAGGTTAGTCAGTCGCATGTAACCTCCCAGAAGTTGCTTAGCCTTTTATCATTCAAAAGAAAACTAATTGTTTCAGTGCAATCTTCCCATAGGTGGTCATCAAGACCCTGTCAAGGGGAATAAAACTTATGACTCGTACAGAAAATGCCCCACGAACTAAACTGGACACGCTTATTCGAAATTCAGGTCAACTGCTTCTCGGAGGTCCACTTGAATACTATTACCTTACGAGCTTATGAACTCTGAACACGAGTTCCGGTACTTCAATTTGAAACAGGCCAAAATTTTGTGGACACATATAAACTTCTGAGCTAGTAACTATGTGTTTGTTTTGGCCATAGTTAACAATTACCTTTGTTCAATGAATCCCACTTCCCATCAGAGATCTGTAAGTTGCCTGTCACGACATACACATTCATACTGCAAAATCTATGTGTATATAAAAAGTCAGGATTTCTATCATTAGTTCACGGGAGTGTTAAATATTTAGGTCTCTCAAATTGAGTAAACACTGACCTTTCAGCACTGAACATTACAAGTGTATGAAAACCAAAACAGAATGTCGATCATCATCTTCCTTAGACCACAGAATTAGCGATGGTGTTCGTGGACATTGCGACTAGATATCGTGACTTGCAATTTCACTTTCGAAGGTGAATGTAGGCGGTCTAGGCTGAGGAAGTTCTGATTCACCGCTCAGCATCAGAACTACTGATGACATGTTGGGTTGGTCGGTCATGTGGTCCTGCATGCAGACAAGCCCGACTTGAATGCATCTCATCACTTCTTATGGGAAACAAGCATGAGCAACTGCTTCATCTGTTAGGTCTAGTCCTATATCTTCGCTCCACAATTGCCATGCCTGTAAGAATTAGAGATGATAGTGCATTCAGGCGTCGGTTACTTCAGAATGTTAAAAGGCTCCCAATTCTTTGCTTTCCCTTTTTGCCTGCAGATTTGAAAGGAAGACAAGATTTCTGCAAACCAAAGCATGTTGCCAAAGGTGTGAGGTTATGAGTCCTTTTAGAGATAGCTTTAAAGTTTATGTTATTGAACAAATTATTTTTATATTGGAAGCTGATGATGCCTTTCCAGTTCAAGTGCATTCCCAAAATGCCAAGAGATCATGATAACAATGGTGTTTGACATAGCAGGTTCATTGTGAGTCAGAAGGTAGCTTTTAAAAAGAGAACTGTTTTTGGATGAGAAGCCAGTAGACATTGGCATTCTTCCCTTGGCCGTTGTTCAAAGTTGACTTAACCTTTCAGTGTACAAATGATATCTGAGGGGTCGAAGCCACTTCTGATCAAATTTGTCGGCCATATGTTTTTGTTAATGCACCAGCACAAGTTTTATGTTCAATGAAGCTAGATATTATACGGGATCCAAGCAAAAGGGTAACTCCTGAGCAATTCAGTATTAAGGATCACATGGCTCCGATTTTGATCATTAGCTGACATTGGGCTTCCATTTTCATGCGAAGCATATCCGAAGTGAATTGTTCAGTCATTCGAGCTTCTCGCCACTTTCTGTCTTCTTTCCTCTTCTTAGATAACTAAGATTTATTTTATGGCTGCAAGGCAGCAATTAATTGCCACAGGCATACATCACTTCGTACCAAATCTGGAGAAGGTAAATCATATATGTGAATCATACTGAAGCTAGAAATACTTTTTGCTGTGCCAATGCTTATGCTTCTTATGTGGGAACTTTAGACTATCTTTGGTAATGAGAGCGATGGGGATTACTTGGTCGTTCTCCTTAATAAGACCAAAAGTTCCGGCTTTTGTAAATCAAAACAAATTCCTGCGTCGATTTTGTTCTGTCCAAAAAGTATATATTCCATACCCCTACTTTGCAGCCTAAAACCCATGTAAAAAGTGGAGCAGTGCATTCAACCTTTTGTTCAGAGCGGACTAAAGCCATCCTTGAATTGAATAAACACTGATATCTTAGAAAATAACAACCAAATCATCTCCAAAATAAAGGAAACAAATGAAGAAAAATACCCGTCATCTACCTTCAACCATTGTATTAGTCAGTGTTGACAGACCAC